GCTTTCCGAAATACTTGCATAGTGTCTGAAACAGGGTCCCTAGTGATGCCTGTGTGTATGAACCCTAACTGGCCTATTTATAGTGAAAGATGGATACTTCTACCTGCTTTGTGTTGGACACACCAGTCATTAAAAAAGTGCAGAACATGGCATAGAGTCTGCATGGGGTCCCACACAGTTCTCTCAGCATAACACTGTAGACATTTTCAGGACAGTATGATGAATTGGACAGGTCACATGACCAGACTTGCCTCCCTCTGGCTTTGTTTTCACTCATTGGAATGAATGGTGCTACACTTGCTTCAGAGTTCTGCAATTGTGCTTTATGAGATTGCCAGTACCGTTGCTCCATGTGTGAGACCGTACTAGTGTTTTACATCTGTCAATTTATTGACAGTAAAAAAAATTTTTGGGGTCTGGTGCAACATTTTTTATAACTAAACCTCAGTTGGAGGAATGGGGAAACATTTTTGCTAGAAAAAAGGTTTTTATTTCTTAGAGAAGGGACTTTGTTCCATAGGGATATTGTACAAGAAAAGGTTACAACACTGCAAAAGGTTCAAGATGGGGTTTCCTAGAATTACAAATAACAGTTAAACAAAGTTAAATAGCTTTTATTTTACTGAAATAGTAATTGTGGTTCTGTAATCATGTATTGTGTATTCTACAATTAACTAATGATAACAATGTGTTTATGGTACATTTTTAAAAAACTAAGTGCAGTTTTTAAAATAAATTTATAAAATGTGGTATGTAGTAATGACAGTATATATTAGGGTACAGTTGCTTTTGCTGTAGCTTGTAAGTAAACCAAAACAAATTTGCTTACACTAAAAAAAACAAAAAAAAAGTCTGGGTCTGTCCTTTCAGTCCTTCACTCGGTATTGACATGAAGGATTTCTAAAAATCACTTTTGTAATACAGTGGGGTTAATTTACTAAAGGCAAATAGGCTGTTCACTTCACAAGAAAATTTTCCCTTCTTGCATTAGGTAAAAATTCACTTGGCAAAGAATACGCAATCATGTGAAAAAAAATAAAACAAATATTTTTGCTTTCACATTGATTGGATGTTGGAAGTCAGCAGAGCCCCACCTCATTGTCTAAGTTAATGGATTCCCTATGAAAAAAGGAAATTCAAGTCACCAGCTTATTTGCCTTTAGTAAATAAACCCTGCTAACCCTCGCAGAGTTTTGTGAAGCATACTACTGGTGGTACACAAGGACAATGGCAACGACTTTGCTACTTTATTGAGTCACTGATCTGAAATGAGCACCCAGGTCATGCTTTCTAACTTCACTGGTTATATGCTTGTTTCAGGTCAATGACAACCTAAATATTGAAACCATAACATAACCAAGACAGTCCGGCTTAGGACCTGTTGTCTACGGGCTTTGATTGATTACATCAGTTTGAAACACTCCTGAGATCACTCAGAATTCATTTGCATGTACATCAGAACTGCAGTTGAACTCCTTCTAACCAGGAATTGACTTGCTTTTAACAGGTTTTGCATTCTCACAGTCTTGTAGGGTTATGCAAAACCTGCTTGAAGTAGGTCAAAACCCAGGGAGACAGGCCCTTAAGGGGAGTGCAGCCATATTATTGTATTTGGAACAATAAAACTGAGTACTTTCTGTGATACATTTTTGCACCAATCGTTTCAGAGAAATACCACCTTCTTCTAGGTCCAGGCACTACTCCCATATTTCCACCAGAACAAGTTTGCTCTGGTAAAGTAATCTCAATCTAATGATGGTAACCAAAAAGGTCATATGATGATTTAGTCAATTGGATATATTTGTTCCTGTAGACTCTGTTGCCACCTTGTAGACAGAAGTATCTTGATTAAATGCTCCCTAGAAAAGCAAGTGTGGACAATAGCAGAGTAATCAGTGACCAATGATGGCAGGGAGAAGACAGTACACAAAGAGTGAAGTGGTAGTATTAGCCAACAGTGCTCAGATTTGCAGCTGCTACAGAGTAGATGAGGAGTTGGCACATATAGCCAACAAAGTTTCCACATAAGTTTGATTACAGGTGGCAAAGGCCGTGGTACATAACTAAAATTTGTCAAAAAACAGTGTCTGGATTTTTCCTGCTTACATGGATGTCACCCTCATGCCCCTTTATTATAGATGTTGTTTTGTTCTTTGTTCATATTTTACCTTCTGAGGTTTCCTTATGAGTCCTAGAGGCCTACCATTTAAATGACATTAAAGGCAATTTGGAGAAAAAACAAAAAACTTTATACTTACCTGTTCTGTGCAGCCAAGATCCTCCTCTTCTCGGGTCCCTGCCAGCACTCCTGGTCCCTTCCTCCTGCCAACTGCCCCCAGAGCTTGCGATGGGGACACCCAAGCAGGCTCGCTCCTGAGCCACTGCTCTGCATGTCCATTCACACACAGAACCGCAGCTCGGACCCTCGCCCCCTCTCTCTTCTTACTGGCTGTGATGGACAGCAGCAGGAGCCAATGGCTCCCGCTGTTGTCTCAGCCAATGTGGAGGGAGAATCCTTGGAGAGCTGAGGCTCTCTTACACATGGCTGGATTGCAATTGGGCTCAGGTAAGTATAAGGGGGCTGCTGCACACAGGTTTTGTACCTTCATACATAATACATAGAATGCATGAAGGTAAAAAACTTTCTTCCTTTAGAACCACTTTAACCTGTTTAGCTGTACAGATTCCTTTTGTATTTGGCTTTCCATTCACTTTTGGAGAATCCTCTAAGTGACCAAAGTCTGTTACTATCTAACTATTTTACAGTGTATTTTGATGTCACATTTTTAACATTTTCAACCTATTTTCTAAAATTGTTAAATAAATAAAAACTTATGAGACCATAACATGTCAAACAAGGCACTAACTCACCAGATGAAATTACTAAGCAATGCACATGGAAGAACAGACTCCAAAAGTGCAAGTCCAACCTATTTATAAAACGTTTTGTAATATTTTAAATTGTTTGCATTTCTGGATATTTTGTATTAACTTTTTGCGTACAAGGGCAATCAATTTCTTTTTGCATTTATTTGCACTGAAAAGTTTTTAACTGTGGCAAGGGCATATATTAGCTTTAAAAGCGATACAGGTGGATTATTCACACGAAGCTGCAAAGTTGATTTGTCTTGACAAGTACAGCAGTGCACTTAGTCTGTACTATTTTTTGATCCCTTGTCTTACTTGGTTGGAGAAAACATTTCCAATTACCTTTATGAGAGTAAAGAAAATATCCTCAAACAGAACAATAGTAGAAAAGAACCAAATTCATGCAGTTGTCTAGAGTACCAAAATTTTCAACTCAAAATCATTACAGTCAAGAGTCCATTGTAATCTGTATTTTTTGCTTAATGTCTAAACATATTATTTTAAAAAATGTTTTCTGGAATGCATGCAGCAGTATGACTGTATATATTTGATAAGTGATTAATCAGAGTTTAGGTAAAATATCAATCTTACTTTGTTTTGTAAACAAGCATAGCAGAAGAATAAGACAAGCAAAAAAAAAATAAAAATAAAAAAAAAAAAAAAAACATATACTGTTTATATATGTACATATATAAGAACGCGTTGTTCAGGATGAATACAAATTGGACCCCTGATCCGACTCCATGACTGCCCTGCTTTTCTGGGATTAAAGAGCTGAAAATTGTACTGTTCTGCATTGTGGTTCAATTATTAAACCCATAAGAAAAATTATAAAGTGTTAGCAACATTTACATGTTGTCAGGACCACATAGTCTTTAGGAGATGAACTTAAAAATCTGGCAAAGCAGATTACTATCTATGGGGTAGCTCTGATGCCTTGCAAGGTCTCCCTGGAGCTGCCCCTATGTGTATGCTCCTGAACGTATCTACAGCCGCAAAAGAACACAGATTCTCAGTAACACGTTGCTTCGTAACTTTGCCCACCTCTTCCTCTGCCCAAGAGCTCTAGCCTGACATTTGGAATGACCAATCTCTGACCCTATAAGGGGAGATTTGCTAAACCTGGCACACACAGACTCTGGTGCAGCTGTGCATGATAGCCAATCAAACTCCAGGTTTTATTGTGAAAGCTTAATTGAACAAGCTGAAGGTAGAAGCTGATTGGCTACTATGCACAGCTGCACCAGTTTTCATAAATCCCCCCCCCCCCCCGTGTGTTTGCACTATGTCAGGAGGTCAGTTGTCCCTTGTGTGACTGCAGTGCGCACTTTTTCAAGAGAGATTTAAAAACATAAAACCAAAAAAATGGCAGTTCGTGATTTGGATCTGAAGGGGAATGTTAGTTTAGTGATGAGGATTGTAATACTACTTTAAGATATAGCTTTCTACAGAGCAACAGGAAAAATGAGCCTATCGTTTCATACCAGGATCGCAGAGAGAAGATCTTTTTGTTTTAACCCATCCTGAACAAAAAAGAAAAAACCCTTCTAAATAGTGCTTTTGACATTCAGTCAAATTTTGTATTGTAAATGATAGGCAACAGTACATTTTTAATGTACAGGTTTCTGAATGCAAAACATTTTGGATAAGTGCTTAATGTAATTCATTTTGTGGTGTCTTAGCCATTTAAATATAGGCATCAAGCTTATCTGACAGCTCCAGTGTAATGCATATCTAGTATCTCCCACTCACAAAGTGTTTAAGGTGTTTCTCTAGTTTAAATGTACAAATATGCTTCATAAGTAAAGACAAAAGGAAGCACCGTTCTAACTGCACACTCTACACTGAGGAATACATGGTTAGTAATTAAAAGGATTGCTACAGTAATATAACTCTATGTGCAACTTTAAAAAAAAAAAAAAAAGAAAAAAGGGGCTTCCCTTACAGGAAGCAAGTGCTATAAAGTTAAGGTGTCGTTTGGTCCATACAACATAGGGTACCAGTTTGGTCCACCAAAGTCTACTACAAAATACGGACCAGTATAACAATTTTGTAAAGCTATTCATTTTGCAGTTAGGTGGCTGGTGCGCTATGAACTGGTCACAGCTTTCCAATGTGTCCTTTGTCTCTTCCTAATGTTTTGCAAGCATGTGACGCTGCAAAGTGCTGCGTTCTCCAAAACGCATGTGGCAGACTTCACATTGGTGAGGTCGTTCCCCAGTATGGCTCTGCTGATGACGTGTCAGCTCACCAATGTCCCGAAACCTGCGATGGCAAATTTGGCATTGGCAAGGTTTCCCACCAAAATGAGTATACTTATGACGTGTAAGATGTGATGTCCTCTTAAAAGCTTTGCCACAAATCTTGCATACGTGTGGTTTCTGCTGGGAATGGGCAATGCTGTGTCTTTGGAGGTAGGAGAGATACTCAAATATCCGAAAACACACTGGACATTTATAGACCTTTCTTGGTGCTGCAGACTTTGAGACATCAACATGTGCAATGTCTGAGTTGGACTCATTGGTTGGAATATTATCTTTTGCAGTTTTAGACTCTTCTACAACCACAGTATAAGGCAGACCTTGGCTGTCAATAAGTAAAAATCTCCTAAAGGTGGAGCTTCCAGATTTGTCTTTTGGTATGGAAACAGCACGTTCCCCTTTTGTTTCATCAGGTGGTAAACGAATATATTTATCTCTTTGAATGCTACTTACTCGGTTATCATTTTGCATAAAGGTGCCACTTGCAGCAGGTAATTCTTTACATTGAATATGTTGCTGATTGAGCATTTTCTGGTTTAATTTCTCAGTTGTGCGCACAAAAGACTCCTGACCACTTAATTTCACTCTCCTCAATGGTGCACTTGTACCACCCTGATAAGGGACATTATTAAGCCTCACTACTCTCTTTTGGGAAGGTTGGAATGGAATTCCATGGTAAAAGCTAGAGTCTTCATTAGGATCATCATCTTCAATTAAAATTGGTTCTGTTTTCAAACTGATTTTATCCTTAGAAACTTTATAAGCAGGATCTTTGGCATTGCTATAGTTGGAAGAACTGATCTTTACATCTTCTCTGAACATCGGTGAATATGTCTTCTCCTGTTTTGTAACAAAGGAACAAGTAATTTCCTTGTTCAGTGTAGGCAACTTTTTAAGCTGCATTTCATAAGGTGCCTTAAAGTTTTGTACACTGCTTCCATAAGTAATAAGTGCTACATTTTCTCTGTGGTCCAAAGAATCTGGTACTAGGTTGACCCACTTGTTTACTGAATGTTTACTGACCATTATCTTCCTGCTTTCTTCTCCATAACCTTTGTTCATGTCGCCTTTATCTAATGATATGCGGCCACATCTATAACTGGTTCTGCCTTCAACATGAATCAACCTGCTTTCCAGCTGTGCAGGCTCTTTCTTTGCCATTACAATGGCTGTTTTTTTTAGTCTTTCCGTAGATAAGTATTTGCTATGATTTACTTGTAAGGTCCTTGGTAGAGTCATTTCTTTTTGTTGGTTCAGGATTTTAAAGTTAGCTGCAGCCATTCTCCAGCTTTCAGGATCCATTCACTAAGACGATGTAGATCACACTAAAAGAGATGCAAGGATTCTGTGTACCTACAGAGCAACAAAATACCATTACTAAACATCTGCATATTTATTCACTACTCAAAATATATCATCTGATAAAATGTATAAAAAAAAAAAAAAAAAAAAAAAAAACAAAAAAAAAAAAAAAAACACGTTTTGTATAAAAAGAGTTAAAAATATTTGTCATTATACAGGTATTATCAAGGGGTTCACATCAACAACACGTGATCTAAGAGATAATATACTGTGGGCATGAAACCCCTCTTGATACCGGCATATTGTTATACTGCACTATTGAACACTTTCTGTGGTCAGCCATTCATCTGCTAACAGATCACCAGCTCCAGTGTAAACAGAATTTTTTTCTGTGGAACCACTGCACCCATCAGTGCACTTATGGAGAAGGGACACCCTTGGGAGCAGACTTGGCCAGTTGTAGAGGCAAACTCTATTTCTAGCACATTCACTCTCCTACAGTGATTCAGTATTGCACAGCATTGCAGTGAAGGTGTAATCATTTAAGAACCACACTTTTCTGGTTGGATTAAAATATAAAAACACCTGTGTATGCATATGCAAGGTGGCCATTTTTGCTATTTAAGAAACCTGGCTAGTACCCGAAACTATGTGAATGAAGTACTACTAAAATATAGTGATGTTTTTACACTAGTAGCCATTGCCTGAAAAGTTACAAATGTATATAGTGATTATTAATGCAATTAGGTAGCCTGGTGTTACATTCTGAAGAAATATAATTCACTTCAATATATGCCTAGTACACACAATGAGAAAATTCTTTGAAAAAATGCTTTCGGAGCAATCATCCGATAATCTGATCGTTAGTACACAGCTTTCGAGAGCTGACCACAATAGTTCATAAAGAGACAAGCACAAAAAACATTTCTCGTAAGATGTCAGAACGTACAATTTTTGTGTAAGTAGTATAATATTTATACGAAAAAAATCAAGTGACCATGATTGTGCATTCTTGGAAATGAAAGAATACATTACAACACAAGGCATTACATCATTGGAAATTGTATTCTGTCTTAAGTGAATTTTCATAACTTTAGCAACCTATTAGGTTTTCGATATAAGACTAGCATGAAAAGACAAAAACAAAACAGACAATCCAGCATCTGATATTCTCATCGTCTGTACAAGGCTTTAGGAGCCAAGGAGATATCATTTATTTTCCCTGTATGCTAAAATTGTATCAACATCTACTGCAATTTTACTTTCCTACTGCCTACCCATAGAAGCATACAGACCAATTCTCATTGCATAATCTACTTATGGGAGTAAAGGGACATGGGCTATATCAAAATGCTTATATAGATTCAATGGTTCTGTGGGTTGAGGAAGGAGTGGAGCTTAAAGTGGAGTTCCACCCATTTTTTCATGTACCTTGCAACAAAATGCTCATCCACAGAACAGTCTGTAATGGCAATTATTTACATTTTGTTTTCCTTCTAAATACCTTATTTTTCTATTGTAGTCTGCACTTCCAGTCCTGGCCGCCTAGGCGATTACATCATTAGGCGATTCCCTAGGGCTCCTGGGATATCGCCGTCATCTATCTCAGGAACCTTCAGACCGCACTTGCCTTCCTTCCGGGTTCTGTGTTGATTGACAGGTTGCCATAACAACGAGGTGGGAACTTCTGCCGCCGCTGCCGCCATTGTTATGGCAACCTGAAAGCAACACAGTGCGCTGCGTCCTTACTGCACAGGTGCAAAATCGGGAGGTGCATGCTGGGTAGCAGCTGCATGGAATCCCAGAAGTATGAGCAGGCTTCAGATGCCCACACTAGTAATGGCCGCTGCCTGTCTGCAGGAATCCTGCGATGAATGTCATATTTCCAAGTAAGAAGAAATACACTTATAACAGTATCCTTTTTATATTGTGCAACTAAAGAGAATCACAGGGGTGTATTTTGTAGAAAACTGCCAAGATGACTGGAGCTCCGCTTTAAACAACAGGTATGCGGTCATGGATGAGCTCCAATAAAAGGAAAATCTGGGTAGTGCCAATACCATTTTCTTTAATGTGGCCAAAAATACCAGAGTGCAAGTAAAGTTCTTCCTTTCTTTTAAACATGGAACATTTGCAACCAAATATTCATTTAAAAAGCATATGTAAATTAAGTGCTAACAAATTTAGAACAGACAATATATGAAGTGCTATTACACACATAATGGGTCTATTTATAAATGTTTTCACACTAGATTTACACAACTTTCATCAATGATTTCCGATTTACATAACCTTTTAATTTGATTCAACTGGAAAATGTGGTAATCCTGCTTAAAAGGAAACATTTAATAGACCCCTTATAACTTCAGTCTCAAAACATTTAATGTACTTCCTATGCTTTAATAAAAATGAATATATATTGATATGGGGGTTGGTTAGCTCAGGTGGTGGTTTTCAATGAGTTGTGCCAGTCTGAACTGTATTTAAAAGTAGGGGTTTCAGCCTCACAAAGCAAAACAATGAACAATGCAAAGCCACATGGCTATGCTTCAACATCACCGCTACGCTTGTCAGGTTACTTTAGACCCTGCTTCCTGGATCTTTTGGCTCACTTAGCATGTTACTACAGAATCTTGCTGCACGGGCCCAAGCCTGGCCTCTAGTTAGGGTTTCTTCTAATACCCCAGGCTCTCTCACTCTTCCAGAGATTTACAGTTCCCCCTCCCAGCCCCTGGACTTGCTACTTTCCTCAGCTCTCTTCATCCTGCTGAATTGTGCAGCTGTCCCGACTATCCCAGTCCTGCAGGTAAGGAATTCTCTCCAGCATGGAGTCTCATCTTATGTAAAGATCATCTCTCCTGGCTGGAGCACACCTCTATCTTCCAACAAGGGCTCTGTCTGCAAATGGTAGCCCAGAGCTACGATCGGGTCTGTCTTACAACAAATGTGCATACCTTGTGCACTCACACAGTCTATTGGTGTCAAGTCAGACCTGGAAAGGGGATTGAATGCTCTGTTCCCTGCAAGACACTTTGGAGCCTTCAAGCTCCAGGCCCTGATCCAGGAATACAAAATCCAGAGAAAACCAAAACAATCTGGAATGTCACACTCCTTAGTGCAAATCCTGTGTCATTCCTATATTCATTACCTAAACTCACACTGTAGAAGGGCCTAGCACTGCCATTATATACTGTATATTACTACAGTACCATATGTTCAAGTTTACCAATGTGGTGATTCTAATAATGTTGGAGTAGATAGTTGGGTCAATAAGACGACTTTGCTACTCTGTATGCAGGTTTAATTTTTTTATGTATTTGATTCTTCTCAGAAACAGCAGGTTTTATTTTTGGAGACATGCAGTATGCTGACACCTGTGTCCACAGCAGAGAGCATACTTCCCTTGGGGGAACCTTTAAAAGCACGGTCACCTGGAGAGAAGAATAAATTAAGGGCTGAACACTTTATTATTTAGTTCTCCAAGTAGTACTTTCAAATTTAAAAGGATACGTTCACCTTTTAATAAAAAATAATAAATGCACTTTTTTTGCAGGTTAAAAAAATGTTTATAACTATTTTTGGTTTTAGGAGCCTGGAAAGCATTGCACCAGTGGATTAGCAGATCATTAGTGCCATGCAAGTCTTCTGCAGACTGTCAGTGTAATCTGTGTGCTCGTATGGGCAGGTAGTTTTACGACGACTGGAAGAATCAATGAACTACCCTCAATAGTGCTGTGGTAGGTCATTGAGAACTGGCGAAGGCTGTCGGGACTTGTACATTACCATTCACAGAACTCTGTGAATGAATGATGCAGCCAGCAGGGTGGAGAACCACAGGACAGGGGTTATTTAAAACTGTGACAGCTAGTGGGGGGTAGAAGATCCCCTGCTATTTGTCACAACAGGGGATCAGGAGAAGGACAGGGGCCAGTCCCTACAGTAACATGTTACACCCTGAATATGGGTTTAACATGTAATGAAAGGTGAATTCATCCTTTAATGAAACCGCACCTAAAAGAGAAGTCCGATTTACTGCCAACACCTTTTCCAGTGATCTTTCGGGATGATCCCAATCAATGGACAGGTACACAAAAGATTATTATAAAAATGAACTAAAATAATGGTCCTTGGTTATAATAATAATAAAAAAAAAAACAACCAGCAAAAAC